AACCACAATAGAACCTTTTTGAAACCATAGTAATTAGCACCTTATAGAAACCAGAGTAGAACATTATCAAAATCCTATACCCCTAAACCCTGAACGCTTTTAGAACCCTTATAGATCCCTTTAAGGAGACTTATAAGACGCCGTATTCAAAGCCCAGGTATGTGGCTGCCAAGCGCTTCGTCCAGGATCCAGCTGGGGAGCGCGAGCGACAGCGCCAGGAGCTGCTTGCCGACCTCGAGGCCGTGTGTGGACCTTACCCATAGGCTTCATAGTAGTTCTTGGGATTACCTTCTAGGGTTCTAAATATCAACCACAAAAAAGGAACTAGTATGAGCCTCTAGGCAACCGGACCCAGTAGTTAGGTACTTAGGTTTCGGAGTATGTGATTATTAGGTACTTGGACCCTTGGGGGAACCTACCAAAACCTACTGTTGGTAGGGTCCCTATAAATTGAGCATTTGGGAATACGAACCTACAAAAACATTAGGGTTGGGTAGGTTAAGGTTTGCCTGACCCCAAAAGTACGTAGAATAATCGTATGATCTAGGTGTTGGGTGCTGTTGTTGACTTTTTCAGGGTCTAGGTGGGCTTTAGGGTACAGTTCAGGGGTTTAAGTAGGGCTTCGGTTTTGTCTAGGGTTCCGGGTTCAGGGTTATGCAGGGTTTTGGGTTTAGGGCTTAATAGTAGGTTTTTGTCTCGGGTTTAAGGTTTAACGGTTTGGTATACAGGATCTACAAGAGATTTACGGCGGTCCTGTTGACAGCCCACATCGGTTCTGTATTCGACTATTCTCCATGTTGCTTAGACCTCATATTAGACCTTGGTTCGGGCGTAGAGCCTGCCGGGCATCTTTATTTCTCGACCACTTTTAATGTGTGGGAGCAGTCCAAGGAGGCCTTATCAAATTTAAGGTTTGTGGGGTTGTGCCAAGCATCCGACCATTTAGGGCAGAGAACCTGGTGAACACTTAGACGGTACATCAAAATCTCACAACTTGGCTTGACCTGAACCGCCAAGTGGAGTTGGGTTGGGAGTTTCCGGAAATTAGGGGTATCTTGTTCTGGGGTCCTCATAATAAGGATCCTACTAATTAGGGTGCTATATTAGGGTCCTCTATTTTCGGAAACGCTCATGGGACTTAGCAACTAGGGTTATAAGCAGGGTAGCTCAACTTATAACCACTTACAACCACAATTAAGGTACTTATAACCTGAGTTACTATGTCCCATGATGCTCCAAGTAAACCCTAAACCCCAAAACCCCAAACCCTGAAACCCTAAACCCTAAAACCCTAAACCCTACAATCTTAAAACCCTGAACCCTAGACCCTATAAGCATAGCTGCCTGTGGCTCCCTCAGAATGCGGAATTTGAAGCCATGTTGGGGCAGTCTGGGGCTCCATCCTGCCATAAACCTCAACCGTAAGCACTAACCCCCTATAAGCCCTAGGCCCTAACCCTGAAACCCTAAACCCTGACACCCTAACCCCAGAGCCCTGAAAATTCTAGGTTATAGAAACCCTAAACCCTAAACCTGAAACCCTCTGAAACCCTAAGCCCCTGAACCTCAAACACTCTGAAGCCTCTGGAGGCCAAAGCACGCGCCGCTATTGCCGAGCGCGACCTCACGGCAGCGACAGCAGCCTTGGCGGACCGCGCAGAGAACTTTGAATGTTGCTATAGGGATGAGAGTTTATGGTCTAAGGGTACGGGTTTAGGGTTTAGATTTAGGTTACATATACTCCTTGGGGGTTTAGGGTGAAGGGCTTTTAGGGGTTTGTAGGGCTCATAGGGCTTATGATATAGGGTTTAGGGTTTTTAGGGTTTGCAGGGTTTAAAGGGTTTAGGTTCTATAGGGTTTGTAGGGTTTAGGGTTCATAGGGTTTGGTGTTTATATGGTTCAGGATTCCTAGCGTTTAGGGTTTGGAGGGTTCAGGGTTTATATGGTTTAAGGTTTAGGGTTTGTAGGGTTTAGAGGTTATAGGGTTTAGTGTTTACAGGGTTTATAGGGCTATTAAGCTTTTTGGGTTTGGAGAGTATATAGGGTTTAGAGTTCAGCGTGAGGGTTCGTAGTGTTTGGAGTTTAGGGTTTATTAGTGTTTAGAGTTTAGGGTTTATAGGGTTTAGAGGTTTAGGGTGTAGGGTTGTATGGTTGTCTGGGTTTGTTCATACATATTTTTTTCCTAAAGCCGTTGCAGATAGGATGGCTGCCACATGTAGCACTATTCGTTGCGTGCCGGGCCACCAAGTAGAATTGTTTGCAGTTCGGGATTGTTGGCTTGGGGTTGAGAGCTCCGGCTTCTCGAGGACAGTGGGTGTTAGGTTTTTGTGTTGCAATCGCTGCAGCCCATCAGACAATGTGTGGGACATTGACTTTCACCTGTTGTCCATGTCCTTTCGTAGTTGGTAAAGATACATGGGTGGTTGTCAAAATTAGGGTCCCTTTTAGGGGTACCCTTAATAATACGTGCCGTATCATAATAGAAGCCCAAAACGGGACCATGATTTTGACGACCACCCACATCGCTTGCACGCGAACCCAAGGGCGCCAACCGCCCTGAACCCTAAGTGCCCTCAGTCCCGAATCCGAATCCCCAAGCGCTAAACCAAAGCCCTAATTAATTTTGGATAGTGGTTATGTAATTTAGGATTTGGGAGAGTTTATGATCATTAGGTACATTTTCAGTTGTTCGTTGTTTGGGTTGTTGTCGGGAGGTTGGGGGGGTAGGGTTTAGGGTTTGGGGAGGGGGTGGGGGTTGAAGCTTCGGGCCTGGCGGGTAAGCAAGCACCAGCTGTTTCCCAGGTTCCTCTTTCAGCTTGGGGTGCGACCAACCCTAATTACTTTGGCTGTGCAGCGCGAAGCTTCCTAGACCGTACTTGGAGGATCATGGGACTTAGTAAGTAAGGTTATAAGTACTTCAATTGGGGTTATGAGTATAGTTATAAGTAGAGTTAACCAAAAATAGCCCTAGTTACTAAGTCCCATGAACCTTCAAGTAAACTCAAAGCCTTAAACCCTGAACCTTACGCCTTACACCCTGAATGTGCTGGCAGGGAAACTGTGATCTTTTCTTTGGGTTTCCTTTGTTGTGTCTACAGCTGTGGGTTTAGGTTTTCGGGCTTAGGGCTTAGATTCTGTTTCAAGATCAGGTCGTAAGGGCCGCGAAAGCTTGTGTGCGTGTCTACATATGTATACATATATACACATATACATGATCATGAGAGCAGAAACACGAGGACAATGCCTGCTGCTATCAGGCATGGGTCGACCGTACCGTAATCATCAGATTTTTTTGCGTTTGCTGGGGCGCTCTTGGTTTGGGCACTGGTGGGCTTCTTTCTGTTTGCGTGCAGTTTTGGTGGCTCTCACAGCTGACTCCAGGACTTCCGTGCCGCAGGCGGCGTCAGCGGAAACGAGGCAAGCATGAGTAATATAAGGCTCTGAATATTTGCCGGACCAAGATAAATAGAGCTCCGTACAATAAAGTTGTTCTATATAGAGGAGCCCAAAAACGTATTCTAATGGATCCTTATTTTGGGTCCGTATAATCAGGAAGCCTAATAGGGAACCCCAAATAGCAGGGAACCTTGGGTGCAGGTTTTGAGGGGTCTGGGGCCCGGGTGGGTTCAAGTGCGGATAGCATAGTGCAATTTAGCGGATTTGGTCTAGAAGACTTAAGATTTGGGCCGGGTAACAGAGTATTTATGTTGGGTTATTGGATGGGATTTTATATAGTTGGGGGGCACTGTGCGGGAAGGTAGTTTTGTTCGCAAGAAACATACGGTTTGGATGTGAAGGTTCAGGCAAAAAAGCAGTAAAGGATAAGTTGTTAGGGGCCGTTCGGGTCGGTCGTTCGTCGTTCGATTCTTCTTGGTCCTCGAGCACCTCATCTGCGACTGGTGCTCCTTGCATGTTTGGGTTCTTAGTCAGCAGTTCGTTTGCATGCACCAGGGCGTTTTCCATTGCTTTGCACATATCATGAGGGACCTTGACGATAGCAGCATTTTGCTCCAAGAACTTCCTGAGACCCCGTGCTGGAATTGCAAGGCTTAGGATCGCATTTCACAGCTCATGTCACAGACTTTTCACAGATTCTCACATTTTCAGGGACGTTCGGATATCGGTAAAGGTCGTTCGGTCTTCAGGCTGTTCGGCTTCTGGGTGTGGGTCGTTCGGTTAGGAGTTTTTGTTGGCCTTTCGTGGTCACTCGCCATGGCTGGACGTCAGGGACCAAGGGCGACGAACGAGGACCTCGAGTACACGACGTGCGAGGATCGCATCGACGAAGGCCCATGGTACCACGGGCCGTTGATCGTCGCTTGGGGTGCGGAGGAGATGTACCACCCCTCGGGTCGTTCGGGGTCCATCGGCGACTAGTCTTAAGTTATTCATGTTGCCTTTGACGAGTGGAGTTTTGTTTGGGTTTGTGATTTTAGTTGCGAAGCTGAGGTCAAATGCCTTGGTTTTTGAAGAAGCGGTGGCTCGACGTCGAGGGGACCCATGTCACTGTGGACGTTCGTGGCATTTGGAATTCGGACGTCAAGGCACGAGAGTCCTGCCCTCCAGGACTGCCCTGTGAACTGTGTGACTAGGTTTTGTTTTTGCTGCAGTTATAGATCGTGTGCACGGTGCCCCCTGTTGAGGAAACCCGCTGGTCTAGCTGGCGACGTTCAATGGGCCGTTCAGCCAGCCGGAGTACCAGCCGTGCTTCGAGCTCCTTTGCCCGATTGTCGAGGCCTTGTCGAAGATCGATGGTCGTTCGATCCTGCAGATCATCTGTTTCTGGATGCATTAGTGTCGTGTGTCGTTCACGTGTGGTAGTTCGTCGGGCCTTTCGGGTTTTGTGCCTCTGCTCAGTATTGCGAGGCTCACACGGCCGCAATCGGTCTGCGACACTCGGCGTGGGTTTGTCGGCGGTCTACGACATTCCGGTGTGGCTTCCGACTTTCGGGGGCCTTCAGAAGGAATGGTGGGCGATCGCGAAGTTGCCGGACGACGTCATGGGGTCGCTCAGGCAGTACCAGGCGGTCGCTCGTGGCCCCGTGCCGCCGCCTACGGCCCCGCCGTTCGACGGTGCCGGCCGCGACTACGGCCACGGCGTCTTCGATCCCAATGGCTTGGAGGGGTCGATGCCGTCGGTCGGGAATGCGGTCCTCGATGCCGCCCCTCAGCTTAACTCAGGTGTGTCTCTGGGTTTGTGCGTTTTTTGGAGTTAGCAAGTTAGGTTCGTTTGGACGTTTGGAAAGTGGCACCGTCGGTCCTCATCGAACTGGACCAGCTCCAAATCGACGAGCGTTGCATGCGGGTCACTCGGATGCATCAGTCAGTGTCGCTCGTCGCTCGGATGCACATATGTTAATCTTTCACACTCAACTAAGTCGGTCGCGAACCTGGCCGGCCACAGTGACGATGGGGCGAAGTTCGTGCGGGAGCTCTTCCAGGTCATTCAGCGAAACTTGGTTGCAACAGTCATGTGGGGGATGCTTTTTGTGGTCGTTCGTAGGCGGTTCGGAAACTGAGGCGAGAACTCCGACCGCTCGCAGTACGACAACCCGGCGGCCGCCATCACCTCGGCCGTTCGTAAGGAGCTGGACCGCCTTCGCCCAAACATTGCAGGACTGCCGGGTCGCTCGGGCTTTTGTTAGTGGGTCGCTCGTTCTGGTTGTCTAACTTATCCAGCAATTCAGCTTAGCAAGCCCAGGCAGCAGCGGCGACCGCCCTCCGGCGAACCTCGGGCCACATGCTCGGGCGGTCAATCGAGGGACTCCACCTGGTCCGCCGCCCCGAGATTTCGTGGACGATCGCCGTGACCTGAAGGCATTCAAGTAAGTAAGGTTCAGGGGTCACGACTGATAAGATGATTGTTTCTAAAGTGATGAGTCGAGGTCCTTTCTACGACGATCGTCAGTTCTACGACGATCGTCGTGGCTATGCTCCGGACGATCGTCGTTATGATCCTCGGGACGATCGCCGCTATGGCCCTCCTCCGGACGATCGCCGTGACGATCGTTACGACGATCGCGATCGTCGTCCCTATGGCCCACCGGACGATCGCCGTGACGATCGTTGGGCGAACTATCGCCCCCCGGGCCGCCGCCACTACGAGGATGACGAGCGGCTCTCGGACCCGGGGCACCCCAGTCGTCCGGCGCCTCACTGGCTGGACCGTCGTGGCGAGCCCGTGCCTTGCTTGCAACTTTAGAGTTTTGGTCGTTCGTGTGTGTGTGTGTGTGTGCCTTCGCTGGTGCTTGGAATCCAGGATCCCCGCCGTCGCCGATACGACGACTATCGCTAGGTCGTTCGGCGTGGGCGATCGTGGTGACTTGTCTCTTGCAGCTGTTGGATTGCTTGTGGTATGGTAAGAGCGGCGAGTTAATCAATTAATAGTCTGCTGTGACTGACCCGACTCAGGCACCAGGGCCACATGATCGTTGCTCCACCATTTTGCCACAGCGGCCGTTCGTGGAGCCAAATTTTGGCGACAACCGGGCACGTGCCCGTGCCATGCAAAGCAGCCGAAAAAGGAGCTGGCCGTACTTGTGCAATGGTCTAGTCTTTCGTGCTTTGCGAGTGTGTGCTGCGATTTCCTTTTGCGTGGCAGGTGCTGGGCCGTTCGATGTCGAAGCAGGCCGGTTCTGGAGAAGCGGCTGGGTCCTTGGGTCTTTCGGAGTTCAGTGGTTTCCAGCAGTTCTGGTTTAGGTCGTTCGCCGAAACTCAGATTGCGACTTTCGTGCCGTGCCCGAGTGCTTTGTGCAGCTGAGCTGGTGGTAGCTTTAATTAATTTAAATAATATAGAGCCTAGAATAGAGTCTAAGTTTAATTTATAATTGGAATATATGCAATAATAGTAAGGAAGCCTAAGCCTAAGCTTGGGACCCAAGCTCCAAAACCCCATTACTAAACAATTTAACAATCAACTCGTGCATCCGCCCCTTTCTACCTGGGCCCCAACTCACATAACAAACTGCAATCCTGAACCTTGGCTGCAAAATTCGCAAAAGCACATCGGCAACTATTAGGGCAACACATAGAGGTATTGTGTATCGTCTTTATATGTAGTACAGAGCCATAAGACATTGCAATATATTTCAACATATTTTGGTTCATCATAGTAGTCACCGCAATAGCCCATGCAACAGTGAGTAGCCTGCCACACACCAAAATCCCAAAATAAAATCACTTTGTAGCCCCACCCTCATACTAAAACAATGGTGCAATTAATCCACCCTTAGGCTTGAAACAGGTTTGCACCAGTATTTTGATTTTACCCTGTATCGCCTCAACCGTATAGCTTTGGAAGGTGGGACGATCGTGCGGGGCGATTCCCGTCGTTGAGGTCGCTCGCAAGGCCGGTTTTGGTCGGTTGGTTTTTGACTTTGAAGCAGAGCCCCAAATCTCCGGTGTGGCAGTGCTGTAGCACAAATTCAAAGTCCCAAGGCTCCCAGCCCCAGGGTCGTTCGGATTCATTGATTAATCAAGGATAGACGTTGCATCAAACCCCGTGTGAAAGGAATCCTTCAGATGTCAATGTCACTGCTGTGCCAGTGATCGATGTGCCTGCGAAAGTGTGCATTTCCATTGTAAGGGCTCGTGCTCAGGATCGCATAGTTAGGCTTGCTTGGCAAAGTCCATCCTCTTAGGGTCGTTCGTGGCCCTTCGTCGCTAGCATGGCCAGGGCGAGCATGGGCAACAAGAGGGCGGTTGCCGTTCGCAAGCAGCAGGAGAAGGCGGCCGTCCGGAGGAGGCAGAAGGAAGAGAAGCTCGCCAAGCGTAACGAGAAGACCTTCGCCAAGAGCTTGGCCAACTTCCACGAGTCGTCGTTCGAGCGAGCCAGGGCGTTCGTCGACAGCCAGCTCGACGATAACCCGGCTTGGATCCGCCCTCTGGCGGATCTAATCCGGGATGGCGCCCTCCAAGCCTTGCTGAAGTCTCCCGGGGCGACCGGCGATCAGTCAGGCAGATCGGCGGGTCCAGAGAAATGGGTCGGGAAGGCCAAGTCGTTCGGCGAGTTGCCCGACGAAGTCAAGGTCTTCATGCTCGAGGCCATCGGCGTGCGAATGTCCGAGACGGGGGTTCCGGCGGACGTTCTGAACGGCTTCTTCTCGATTCAGTTCTTCGTCCACGAGGACGTCCCATTGCCTGCAGGGTCTAGGTCGTTCGAGGTCTTGGAGAAGCTGGCCAAGGAGCGGTTCGCTGCCTTGAACAACCACAAGGTGGCCCCGTCCGTCGACAAGGACTTCGACGGCAACGCTGGGCACTCGACGACGGTTCCGTGACTTTCGCCCTGACCGGCGACGTTCAGAAGCTCCCTGCCCTCTCGGAGAAGGACGTTTGGGTTTTGGACCATCAGGACTGCCCATGCGGCCGAGTCTACTCGCAGGCCAACCCAGCAGTGGCGTTCGAGTGCCGGACGTTGTTCCCGGATGTTCGGGAGATTGATCCGAAAGCCAAGTGGGCGTTGAAGAAGGCCAAGAAGGACTGAGCCGGTCTCACGGGGTAGGCCTTTGTCGTTCGAAACAATGGCCCTTTTCGGGTGGGGCTCCTTGCAGGATTTGAGTCAAGGACATGGGGTATGGCAGATGGAAGAAGAAAGAGCTGCGTGCATTGGGGTCGTGTGTGCGTTTCAGCTTTTTGGTGGTGCGTTTCAGGTGTTTTTCAACTTTTTCCCAGGGTTTTGGTAGTGTGCTGAACAATAGGGCCCAAGTTGGACATTTCGGGGCGTTAAGGGTTCCTCTGCTTGCCTTTGCTCAGCGGAATTTTGGAATTTTTTTTGGAGACCTTTTTGGAAAATATCTTTTTTGCACAACCTGCTCTTTTTCCCGGTCTCGGGGAGGCCATCAAACCGAGGAAAGAAAATATCTCAATTACAACCTACAAAACCACCACTTTCAACAGCAACAACAACAACAACAACGACAACAGCTTCAGCGTCAGCATCAGCATCAGCAACAGCAGCAATAACAGCAACACCAACAACGTCCACACGAACAAACAACAGCAGCATCAATGATGACCAGGCCAACAACAACAAACAGACAACAAACGAACTAAACAGGTACACAAACAAACAAGCAAGCAGCAACAAACAACCCAACTTCGCCAGCCAGCCAACCAGCCATACAGCAAACCAGCCAACCATCCAACCAACTAAGCAACCAGCCAGCCAACCAGCCAACCAGCCAGCCAGCCAGCCAGCCAACTGGCTAGCTAACTAAATAGCTAGGTAGCTGATTAGCTGGCTAGCTAACTAACTTACTACCAAGTTGGTCTAACCACAACAACACACAACAAATAGTAACAATGCAACGGTTCTGGGTCTCAGGCTAAGTTTAAGTGTCTTTAATGCTTCAGTTTCAGGGTGCGCTTCAATATGTTTAAATCGTGTCTGCGGTTTTCATGCTGTTTTGAGCCTCGGCCTATCTGTTAACCGACGAAGTGACCAGACTGAGCTTTTGCGTCGCTGCCACTGTGTGCACTTGTGAGTTTATCATCTTTTCCACATCTCATTTCTTAAGGGTGTGCTTCTGATTGTGATTAGGAGTATCTACCAGCATGATTTGTCGTCGCATGATACATGCAGCTTCGGACTCCAAACCAGAAGATATTTCCAACTTGGGACAAAATATTTGCCTTTCTCGGGCTCCAAGCTGGCTGCTTAGACTCAGACTCGCCCATGGGGGGAGGCTGCTTCGGCCTCAGATCGGGCTGCTTCGGCCTGTCAAGCAGACGCAGCGCTCAATCCAAGACCCGGCTTTGAATGGCTGATGCGGCCAATAAAAAAATGGCTGATACGGCCAATCAAAAAGAGGCTCAACTGAAGTGGGCCCGTTTGCGCTCGAAGTGGCAGCAGGCATGCAAGCTGCCTGGCCATGGGACTTGGCTGGATGTGAAGCTCGCACCTTGGGGTGTTGGGTGCAAAGCTTGCAAAGCAGCTGGACTCACAGGCAGCCTTGCCCAGTACGGGGTGAGGACGACAGCTGGCCTCCAGATGCAGAACTTCTTGAAGCATCAGAAGAGCGCAAGCCACAAGGAGGCAGTGTCACAGTTTGTGGGCGGTTCCAGCTCCACTGCAGTTGGAGCTCCCCCACCTCAGAGCTTTCAAGCACTTATAGACGAGAGTTCGGCTGGAAGGCCTCCTGGCTGCAGAAAGAACAGGCAAATGACTTTTTGCTTGGCTGAAGCCGCAAAAGCTCTAGACCAGGACTTCGTGGCCAAGGCTTCAAAGGTGTGTCTTTTCAGAGACGAGCGAAAAGGACGGTTGCTGCTCAGATTCCGGGCTGTTGACAAAAACCTGCTTGTCCGAAGTGGCACCATGGGGTTGGCTATCCAGCCAGGCACAGGGGCGAGGAACATTACTGAAGCGACTCGAAAGATCATGAAACGATTTTGCACACGCTTCGCAGGCTGCCCCAACTCATCACGCAAAGACAAGAAGGCAAAACCTTTCCTGAAAGTGAAACTCTTCAAGCACCTTACAGAGTCTGTTACTTGCATCGCAGTTGACGCCGCCGCAGATGAAGTTCTGAGCTCTGAGCTCATGCGTGCTTCGGCGTGGAACGGCAGCCAACAGAAGCTGACTCCCAATCTTCGCTTCGTGGTTCGTGACAAGGCACACGCCAGTCGCCGAATTACGTCTCGTCCTTGGAGTGCGGATGATGTGCTTAAAGATGTTATGCAGTTCATGTGCGGCGGCCGGCATTCTATTGCTAAGTTGCTTCAATTTAGCGAAGAAATCAAGCGTATATTCGTGGAATTTACAACGAGCACCGACACGGTGCTAAAGCGGGCAGTCTCCGATTTTCGTGCTGCTGCACATCGCTTCGAATCACACGCTAAACCACTTGGCCGCACATGCCTCTACATTCATGCTTGTATCAGAACAGCTCTGCGCCTTACCAAGACTCGCAGCGACGCAAGTGGGCAAAAGGCAAAGGCATGGCTCTTGTGGCTGTCGGAAGAACGGGCTCTTCTGGCAGCGATGTTGGCTGATGCGGCCGACTCGTCCATTCGGCTGACTCGGCTGATGGACACTGAGAGCGTTGATCCGGCCATGCTGTGCCGCGAGGTGTCTTTGTATATGTCTTCTGTGAAGGGACTGTTCCTGCATGGTGCTTGCTTTACGGAATTTGGCTTTACATCGACGATGTTGGAGACACTGAAAACACCCATCGTTTTTCAGTTGGGTTCTGAAACGAAAAGCTTTGGTGACAGCAGCGGTGTGCCCGAGGAGATCAAAAAGCGGTGCCTGGCCAGGATGCAAGCATGGCTTAAACTTGCTGAAGCGGCGGTAGCTGCGGAATTTCCTTCCTTCGAGATTGCTCAGGCCGGGGTGATTTTCTGAACGTTACCTAAACCCTAAACCCCTATTGTTTCCATTGCTACTATATTGATTTTTGAATTAATTATCTTAGACGTGGTTGCTTTTTTGTTGCTTTCACTAATACAACAACAATAATAAGACTATTGATGATGGACTTTGTGCCAGCCACAGGCTTTCGACGTGTTCGACCTCAGCGGTGGCTCTCACAACGCCGACGAGAAGCTCCAGCGGGTCGCCAAAGCCTGCAACCTGGACGAGCAGGCGCTGAAAGCACAGTGGCGGGATGTTTATCCACGCGCCGAGAGGCTTCTGAAACAGAGCACGGACATGAATGCCAAGAACAAAGATGCATGGGCCTTGGCTTTGGACCGTTTATGCCAACATCACTATACGAAAGGCCAACACCCGGTCGAAATCCTCAGAGAAGCATTGATCCAGTACTTTTCTTTTGGGGCCAGCAGTTCCGGTGTTGAACAAAGCTTTTCAAAGTCCCAATGGGGCTTTGGCACACGCAGAAATTCTGCTCTTCATTCCACTGAGGAATTTTCAGTCAAGGCTTTACTTGACCTTCCGGCTGTTGCGGCCTCGCAAAAAGACCGGCTGATTCGGCTGGCTCGGCTGACCTGGGTGAGCTGCTTCGGCCAGTCAAGGTCATCAACGGCTGAAAGGGTAGACAAAGGCAGCAAAAGAAAAACCGAAGACGACGAAGAAGCTAAGCCTGCAACGGAGGCTGCTTTTTTGCGCAAGCGCCGACGTGGTGAGGCGCTGGCTGCTGGGCGCATGGAAGGCAACTCTGAGGTTGCTCTTGACCTGCACGAGCAAGTTTGGACACAAAAGCACCAGAAGGAACTGGAATTTCAACAGAGGAAGAGGAAGATGCGAAAGCTTCAAGCCTTCTCCGAGAATTCTTTGCTGCAACGCGAAATAGAGGATGGTATGCAGCAAGAATCCGAAGCATGTCACAAAAAAATGATACAAAGGGAAACCGCCCGTCGAACCAAAGAAAGAAAGATGCTTCGGGCAGAAAAAGGCTGCTCGCGAGCCGACTTAAAGGCTGCCTGGGCAGGAAAGAAAGTTTATCTGGCTGTTCCGGCCAATATGCACTTAGTGCAGGGAATATCAGACATGGGCCTTGCGGTCACGAACCAAGCGTCCGCAGCGACAGTTATTGTTTGTTCCAAGCCCGGACATATGCAAGACCCGCGGCTTCGATTGCTTGCTGGGCTGCAAGGTTCCTATGAAGTCGCTCCTTCATTTTTTCTGACTGGTCAGGGCGCGGTACTGAAGAGGCGGGCGGCTGCTGCGATCAAGCGAGTGCTCATTGTGTCCAAGGCATGCGCCAAAAAATGTCCTAAGTTCTGGAGATTCCTGCGAAGCTGCCTGCCGGAAAATCACAAGTGGACAATGGCCAAAACGGCTTTGTCCGCCATTCGAGCAGCACACGGACGCTTCCCGAAGAAAAACGTCTGGGTTGTCGTCCTTCCCGGCCAGCGAAATCACCAGGACATTCAAGGGCTCCCGAATGTGTTCACGATGCGGTCGTTGCCAAAGCGCATCTGCAACAGCTTTGACCCCGGCCTCTCCAGAAGTGGCTCTGCGCTGACGTGACGCAAAATTCAAATGAAGCTGGCTTCTGCATGGCCGTTCTCTTGACTCGGTTTCTGAAGTTCACTAAGCTTTATATCTCCTAGCTTCTTAGCTTATCGTTATCTAAAATAAAATCAATCATTTTTCATGTAGTGATGTTGTGATATCGATGCTTTTGGCTCAATTCACAGATAAAATTTAAAAGCTGTCGGCTGCTCCGGCCTGGCCGTCTCTTGGCAAAACCGGCTGCTTCGGCCTGTCGTCTCTCGGCAAAACCGGCTGCTTCGGCCTGCCATGCCGAAACAAAGTGCGAACACGAAAAAGACAAGGGTTCCACGAGTTGTGAAATTTGGATCAGACTTCTCAGGCTTGGACAGCGCCTGGCTGGCCTTGAAACGCATGAAAGTAAAAGCTCAGCTTTGCTTTAACAGTGACAGTGATGCTAACTGCAAAAAGCTGCTGCAAAAGATCCACAAGCCTGAGGCCTTTCACGACGACATTGCAGCCAGGAAGCCGCAAAGTGAACAGTACGTGGACCTCTACGTAACAACACCGCCATGTCAGCCGTTTTCCATGGCTGGACAAAAGAAAGGCCTCAAAGACAAGAGGGGGCAACTGCTAAAATTTAGCGTTGCTTTTGTCTCTCGCCAAAAGCCAAGAGTGGTGGTGCTTGAGAACGTGGCAATGTTCGCAAGTAAAAAATTCAAGCCAGTAACCCGAGGACTGCAGCGAGCGTTCAAGAAGCTTGGCTACGTTTGCTTCGCGCGAGTCTTGAACAGCGCAGACTTCAAGGTCTCGCAAGCCCGTCGTCGTTTCTTCTTAGTTGCGATCCGGAAGGACAGCCTCCACCATCCCTTTCACTGGCCGCAACCTGTGGGAAAAAGAAACTTGGAGGATGACTTGGACCCAGCGAGGCCAAGCGACCGGCCCGGGCGGCTGCCGAAGACGAAAAGGGCTAGAGACCTTGCGTTGGCTGCTTACGGCCAAGTTTGGAAGAAACAAAAGCTAGATCCCAGACAGGTCCCAGTTGCCGTGGACATTGACTGCTCTCCCCGATTTGCTTCCTACGGCGTGAACCAATTGAAAACTTTGACAAAATCAAGAGGCAGCTGTGGCGGCCACTGGCTGTCCAACCGAGGCCGCAAAATGACGATCAATGAATTGATGCGAGTGACGGGTATCAACCCCATCGAACTCCGTGGCTACAAAGAAGAAGGCATCAGCGATGCTCAACTCGGCGGCATGCTGGGTAACAGCATCCCTGTGCCCCTCATCTTAGGAGTGCTGACGCAGGCCATGAAAGCAGGAGGCTTGTTGTTTGTGCCCAAAGGACAAAAGGAGACTTAGACGCCAGAGCTGCTTCGGCTCTAAGTCAAGGCTGCCTCGGCCTGTGCTTTGGCTGCATCGGCCGTCCGGGTACGCTGTCTTCGCACCCGTGCTCTCAAACGTTGTCGCCGTCAAGTTTGCAAAACTGTTGAGTGTGCCGTCATGTAAGTTTATAAGATGCATGTAATTTAAGCTCTCTGTGTGTGTGTGATATACTATTATTAAATTATTCTAATGCAAAATCATTTACTGTCCGCTTCGTAAAACCCTAAACCTAGTCTTGGAGCTTGCATTGATCACTGACACTTTGAGATTTGTCTATCTGCTGCTGCCGTTTCGATCATAGCTGGGAACCTTAGGTGTAGCGGCGTTGCCTTGTGGCTGAATCGGCCGCCCGAACGGCTGAAACGGCCGGCAGCATCTGTTGCTTTAACGGCTGAATCGGCCGTCCAACATCGGCCAGGCCTGGCTGCAGTGGAAAGCTGGGCTCATGCCGCTGCCTGCTTCGGCACCATTGGTTTTCGCTCGTAAAATGAGAGAAGATATCGAAGAAAAACACTTTAGGGATGATAACGATATACAAGACTGGCTGGATGAGCTGACAAACTTGAGAGACATGGCGGTGCAGTACCACGTTTGGATGGCGCAAACGGACGCAGAGTCAGAGGCCTGCCATGCCGTCGTCAACCTGGCCGACGGCATCACTTTGGTTCTCGGTGGCTTGGACGAGGACGAAATGTCCGATGCGCCATCCGTAGTAGTGCACTCAAGTCTTCCTCAACGGATAGAACCGGCACCCAGCAATATCAGTTGCAGGGCATTTCAAGCTATGCGCTGGATGCCTCCTGCTGAATGGAACAGTGCGGCATTCCATTTTGACAGGGCATGCCAGAGCCTTGATTTCTTGCGTCGTATAACTGCCCTGACGAGGTTCGAGACAGCAGAGAAACATAGCTTAGACCGAACGCTGGGCCAAGCGCAAGGACAGCTTTTCGATGCTCAAATGATACTCCGCGGCTGTGCTGTAGTTCGAGACGAGCTTCGTCGTCAAGATGCGACCCAATCCGACAATCCCTCGGGCTCAACTTAAAGGCTGACTCGGCCTTCACGAAGCTGCAAGCTTGAGCTCCAAATACTTAGAAGCTTTTGAGTGTTTGGGCTGCTTCGGCCCACGACTATCAGCTGCATCGGCTGCGATGTCACGGTGCTTCTTAGGTCTTTTGAAGCTTAGGAGCTGTCTGAGCACGGTCCGCGTGGCTGGCTTGCAAAACAAGTATTTCGGATTCTTTATTTGCATACCAGGTATAAATTATAGGGCTTCGCTTCAAGGTCTGGGCTTTAGATCTCATGAACATTGTCGCCTTATGGTTTCGGGCTGAAGGCTGCAGTGTCTAGGAAATAAACTTGAGCCTTAAAATCAAGTATGAGGTAAAGCTAGTTCTAGGGTTTAGGATGTAAAGGATAACTTAGTGGTTACGGGTTTAGGGGTCTAGGTAGGGCTGCAACGTTTAGAGTTTTAGGGCTTGCGGCGTGAACTTTAAGGACTTTAGGGTTTAGGATTTATGCTTAACTTTGGGATTAGATTTTTTGGGGTTTAGGGCTGTCTTGGAGGGCTGCTGATCTCCTCAGAACTACTCCCGGGCTGGCCGAAGGAGCAGACGAAATGACCTCTCCACCCGCAGGCCGGTGACGTCCCTGAACTGCGAAAGGAGAGGGTGGTGAGAGGGCGAAATAGAAATTCCGTTGAGCAAACAATTTCCTAAGGACTCTGTCCCCCCACGCCCCTCTCCACAGGACGGTCGGGGACGTCCCTGAGCTGCGAATGGAGAGGTCGAATTGTCCTCTCCTTAGGAATACCAGCCGGCCAAAAAAAATTCCGCTGAGCGCATCAAAGAAACAATGCACGAACTCGCCTCGGGGACGTCCCTGCGAATAGAAAATCATGATGCGATAGCTAGAACTAAGGAAAGCCTGTCAAAAAAATTCCGTTGAGCGCAGCAAAAGAAAACCACCAACTCGCCTCGGGGACGTCCTTGCGGGCAAACTATTGAATTTACAAGACTCAAAATTTAATTAGGTGAGGTGGTAGAAGCAAGGCCTATATGTAAAAAAACGTTAGGATCTGCGAAACAAAAAGCACCAACCCGCCTCGGATTTCCTTGCATGTTTTTTAGGAAAAGATCGCAAAAGGTGTTTGTTGTAGTTTTCCAAGCAGGGTTTAGGCATGTTCTGCAGCCGTAGAAGTAGGTAGCTCCCGTGCCGCGCTGCGCTTCTCACAGCTTTACTACCGCAGCCGCACCTTTTACAGTTTGCTGACATAGCTTAGTTTGCTAGGACCCCGTGCCTCTGCTTCCGTGGCTGTTGCGGCCTGTCGGAAAACTTTAGGCTGCTTCGGCCTCTTTGCGTCTGGCTGCTTCGGCCTGTGTGTGGCTGCTTCGGCCACTAAAAGAGTTGTGGCTGCTCCGGCCATGTCTGGTGATGCGGCTCAGATGATAAATGAGCGCCTCGTGCTGGACTGTGGAGGTGTTTTGTCCGTGCCCAGCCAGTACGGTCAAGAAAAGTACGATGGCGACGATATTTACAAGTCCGCGATTCCTGGAGCATATGCCTTCTGCCAGAAGTTCATGAAGCAGTATGGCAGCAATGAGCTCCAGGTGATCAGCCGTGTCAACTTCCCCTCCAGCAAGAAGCACTGGGTGGTTCGCTTCTGCGAGTCACTCGGTCTCTCCGAGAACCAGGTCCACTTGGTTACCGACAGGAAGGACAAGGGGCCGAAAGCTCGTGAGCTGGGGTGCGCCGTAGCTGTGGACGACCAGTCCGACTGTTTGTATCACATCGGTGTGTGCTGCCATGACATTTTGCACGACGTGAAGCCGCTGATCCTGTTCTCTGAGAAAGGCTACAGGAACACCCAACACAAGTGGGACAATTGGGTCCAAAACCGAGTCACCCGTACCACGTCTTGGCTTGCCGTGGCTCGCTTCTGTGCCTTGGACGTGTCAGGCTGGGAGGAGCTTGGCCAAATCGGTCCTCCCAATCGCTGGCACAACGAAGCCACGACAAAGAGATGGTTTCAAACGTGTGAGCCACAGCCCGCGGCTGCTCCGGCCGCAAAGCAAAAGAAGGAAGTAACGGCTGAACCGGCCGAGGAGCTTCCAAGGAAAAAAACGAAACTAGAGACGACGGCTGCTTCGGCAAAAAAGAAAAAACCTGACGACGAGTACTCGTACGAGTACTACAGCGACTCAGACGACAAGCCCGCCGCCCCGTCCGCGTCGTCCTCGTCGTCGGAGCTGTCTGTCCGCGTAGTTAAAGGGGAAACAAAAGCGGCTGCTTCGGCCGACGAAGACGACAGAGCGGCTGCTCCGGCCGAAAAGGACGACAGAGCGGCTGCTCCGGCCGAAAAGGACGACAGAGCGGCTGCTCCGGCCGAAAAGGACGACAGAGCGGCTGCTTCGGCCGAAAAGGACGACATCGCGGCTGCTTCGGCCGAAGAGGACGCAAAGAAAGAAAAAAAAGAGAAGAAGGATAAGCGGGAGAAAAAGCATAAACATGATGATAAATATTATGATAAAAAGCCGGCTGCTTCGGCCGTAAACCTCAAGCCGAACCCAGAAACTGAGAGGCGCGCTCTCAGAGACGAGATGCGGGATCTGGCTGAGAGAACCACCATGATGGCTGAGAGAGCCGAGGCAGCCGCGGCTCAAGCGTCAGCCTCGTCGTCGCAGCGTCCACAAGAGGCTTCCTTCACGTCCTGGCAGGGCCGAAACCCCGACTCGGAGTGGATGCGACGCAAGAGAGAGCGGGCCCAACAGTACCGCGAAAAGGGGGGCCGTCCTCCAGGACCTCGAATCACACCCTGCAGTTATTGCAAACACTGCAAAAAAACCAACCCGGCGCCTACTGTCCCGGAATACTCTGCCGAGCATGCTGCGAGATGTGGCAGTCTTGGGACAAGAACTACAGGTGCGAACAGCACGGCCGCCGCTAGAGTGAAAAAGACAGCCTTCGTTCGGCTTCGTGGTTTAGGATTTAAGGGTATTTAGTTTAGGGTATTTAAGTTTAAGCCCGAAGTTAAAACCCAAAACCCAAACCCTTCCCTAAACCCCTTATTCCCTAATTAAGTTTCCCCAGGCCCTAGAGTTTCCCGAAACTCTAAACCATTCTAAACCCTAAACCCCAAAAACTTACGAAAGAAAAAGCTTCCCTAAACATACTTAGGACTTAATTATAGTTTCGCGAAGCATTGCTTAGCCCTTCAAAGTGCCCTCAGACCCTACAACCCCTAAAGCCAACAGTTTCACAGCCCTAGAACCCAATTTTTTTTTAAGCCACGCATGCTGAATCAGAACCACCCGCAGCTGTTACAACTCAAGTTGCAAAGCAAACACACTTCTGGCTGCCTCGGCCACTCCTGGCTGCAGCGGCCATAACTGACAAAACAAAGAAGGTTGTAGCCTGGCTGACACGGCCAGTGTGGCCAGCTGAGGTGGGAATGCCACCGAAAAAAAACCCCAAGGAAAAGGCAAAGGCAAAGGCAAAGGCCAAGTCAATTGAAGGAGTGACGGCCATGGCTGATTCGGCCTGGGCGGACAATTCTCAGGGCAACCTGTGCGCGGAACACTTGATCCGCGTGCACGAGGCCCTTAAAGCGATCCGCGACTGTTCTGTTTTTGACGGGATCGATGCGGCAGAACCGCTCACGATTGCTCAGGGCGGGCATCAAGAGCCTTTCGCGATCGGCCAAGCTGTCAAGGTCTTCCAGAGGGATGCCACAGCCCACTACTCCTGCGGCGGGAACTTCTTTTGGTGCGATCAAGTCTGGATGGCAAACCATCGGGTTCCGATCAACAAAGGGCAGGTGCAGGAAATCCAGCGCTTTTACCTGCCGCCCATGGATCCACCGAAAGAATTCACGTATGAAGTCGTTGCGGCTGTTTCGGCCGCCTGTGACGAAGAATTTCACAAGAAAGGCAGCTTTCAGCGGCTGTCTCCGGCCGAGCCCTGCCATGCTCTGTTGTTTTCCATCCACGAGGCTATCTCCGCAAAGGCACCTGAACCTATTCTTCGTCGATGGAAAGAACTGCTGCTCACCACACCGTTTCGCTTTGAGCTCGTCCCACAGGGTGAAGCAAGATTTTGGCGTGCTCAAAACCTACGGGAGGAAATGGTTGAGCGTGGCATCACTGTTCGGCTTTCGGTGCGGCAGCGGATCTACGACGTAGCAGGCTTCAAAGCCAGCAAGGAGGCTGCCCTGAAAACTACACTGGGGGCTGCCGCCGTGGCCAGTGCCTATCAGAAGCACCTGAAAGCTTCGGCTGGCTCCGAGATCATCTCGGAATCATTCGTGGACAGCGCCATAACCGTGCACGACAGACTGCTGAGTATTCCAGCTTGCAGTGTTTTGCTGGAGGAGCTGGATGCCCAGTACTTGAAGGGCAACCCACTGTCCAGCATCTATGCTTTCCAAGCCATCATTGACAAGGCACAGACCCCACAGCACATCACTTGGGCAGTGGAAGGAATGATAGATGGTTTTCGCAAAGGCTTCGTCGAGCCAGGCTTCTTCGCCGTGAGCAAGCTGCGAGACGCTCGGAACAGTGTCTCGGACCTTCGTGATCAAATTTTCTGGGCTCATTTTCAAGTAGTTTGCTTTTATAGTAATAAATATCATTATAATCATCTGGATGCAAAAAATATGGTAACTTAAATTTTGCCATAACTTGCGATAATCAGGCTACGTGGAAATCTTGAAGCTCAAGCTGGCCGTGAAGAACCACTTGCTCGAGGAATGGCTCACTGGAAGCACGTTTCCGGGCAAAACCAAAGAAGACCTGCGGTCAGCTTTCAGCAGCTTCACTCACGTACGAAGCAAGTACAGCCCGTACAAAGAAGAAACTCAGGCTGATACGGCCTGGATCTTGGGCGCAAAAGACTCAGTTGTTCTGGCAGCAGAACTGCTGGAACAGCTAGTGTACCTTGACACTTTTGATGGCCGGTACAGGGATGCGCTGAAATCGAAGCATGAATGCGCTGACGTGCTCGGTTATCCCAGCATCAAGAAAAAAATAGAGGATATCGAGGCAGCCTTGAGAAAGGAGTCTAAGCCCGCCGAAGTTCTGTTTGAAGTCCCGGCTGCTCCGGCAGGGTCTGGCGATGCCCCAGCATCGTCGACGGGCACTGGTTCGGCTGCTTCGGCCGCAGAAGAGGCCAAACTCACGAAAGACGAACAACAACAATGGAGGCAGTTCATGCTCAAGACTCTTCGCAGTCAAGTTCGCTTCGTGTCCGACCACAAAGCCGCTTCCGACCTTGAACAAGCCATCCGCGACTGCCCGTTTTCGAAACTCAAGGGGGACCCGACGGGTCTGGTGCTGTTACACTTCGATGTGAAAAAGTTCGGTGAGTCTGCGACCAGGCCAGACCTTCGTCTACCGCCCCTTCGGGATGGACCGTACACACGCCTCGTCCGTGCCGTCATGACGGCCAGGCAGAGCGAAGGCTCAGCAGCGGCTTTGCAGCCAGGCGAAGTCGCAGTGTTGCTGGACGGCTTCAAGAAGGGCGCCAAGCAAAAGCTTATCAACCCTTGGAAAGACGGCACCCGCAAAGAAGCCAAGGCGAAAGGGTCTACTAAAGAAGACGAGGATGAAGATGATGGCGACGGGGATGACGACGACTGCGAGGAGGAGGAAGACGCACGGCCGAACCTGGTCTGTGACTTGCTGCAGATTGGCTACACCGAAGCGAGCCTAAACGCCCGACGCCAAAAAAAACGAGGCACATGCACGATCAAACAGATTGAGTGGGCGCACGTGCTGTCTTCCAAGAGGCTCTCTCTTCCGGCCAGGGAGCGCAAGCATTACGGGCCGGGGTCAAGCACAGGCGACCTCATCTCAGGAGTGGACCTGCCGAAACTGTCCACTGAGTGGTGCCTCCCATGGCAACAGAAGAAGACCCTTTACGGGAAAAAACATTTGATCGCCGTTGGGGGAAAGACTGAAACCACAGAAGAAACAGAAAAATCAGACATGGATCGCCTGGGCAACAAGCCCGAACCAGTTTGCTTTCATTCTATGCCTGGGGCATTTTATTCAGAGCTCATGCACTCCTTTTGGGCGAAGATGGTCATCGACCTAACGCCAGGCGACGGCCGATTCGCTTTCGAAGCGCTGAAGGCCAGGGTGGGCTACATGGGAATAACCTTCACCCCTGAACACAGCCAATTCTTGGAAGAGCACCTGCTTGACTTGATGAAGCTGGAGATGTGTGACACAGCAAGTCCGCTCTTCAATTCGGAATACGCAGCGGCGGTGGGCAAAAAGGTTCCCAAGGCCAAAGCAACTCCAGCACCTGATGCAGATCCCAAAAAGAAGCCCAAAACAAAAGCTACTCCCAAGCGCAAGGCTGAGGAGCAGGAGGCTGATCCCAAGGCTAAGCCAAAGAAGAAGGCTAAAGCAAAGAAGAAAGCCGAAAAGGATGCGGATCAAGAACCCGCAGACGATGACGCGGAAGAAGCAGAGGACGAAGAACCAGAGGAAGACAACGACGACGACGACGTCTGGGATCCTCTCGCTACGTGAGCAGCTGCATGCTGCTTCGGCTGCTTCGGCCAGGTGCGAGGCTGCTTCGGCTTCGCAGGCTGCTTCGGCCAGGTGCGAGGCTGCTTCGGCTTCGCAGGCTGCTTCGGCCATCAGTCTTTTAAGGGCTGCTTCGGCCATCAATCCTACCAGTTTTACTTTCAACCTTCCCGCAGGCTTCAGTTCCTCAACGCATGTTCGGTTCACACACATTCTCAAAGTTAAGTTCTAATTTGATTCACAGAAATCCCTGAGCCCTGACCCTTAAACTGAGCCTAAACTCCGGTTTGAGATTTATAGCCTCGGGAGCCTGTGGTCTTGTGAGCGCTTGGCTGAGAAAAAGTGACTCTGGGCTCAGGCGTCTCTCAACCCCAGGTGGTTTTGGATAGGATATGTTTTCTTTCAGACAGACCCATGATGTTGAAGGCATACTTTTCAACTCACCGCTTATTCTTCCCTTCATGAGCTGCTCAATCATCCTTGGTCTGCACGTACGGAAACTTATTGTTGATTACGAGCAGTTCAAGTTCGCATGTGGCTGAATGCAGGTTAAAATCATGTTCAAGGTATTTTCATTTCTCGGTGAGTGGATGTCACACTCTCGGGGAAAGCTTGTAGAGCTTATGAACTTTGTTCACTAAAGTCCGTGAAGAGGGTTTAGGGTTGCCGTCAACAGCAACAACAACAACACCAGCAGTAGCAGCAGCAGCAGCAGTAGCGGTAGCAGAAGCAGTAGCAGTAGCAGTAGTAATAAGCAGCAGCAGCAACAGCAACTGCAACAACAACAACAGCATTGAAAGCAACAGCAACTGCGCCAGCAACAATGTTGACGCCAACAACACCAGCAACGGCAACAACGACAACATCAACAACAACAGCGCCAGCAGCAGAGCCAACAATAGAACCAACAGCCGCAACAACAACAACAACAACGACAACAATAACGACAATGACAAGAACACCCACCACCACAACCAGAGCAACAGCAATAACAACAGCAGCAACAACAGCAACAACATCAACAACCACAACAACAGCAAGAATAGCAACAGCAACAGCAGCAACAACAGTAATAGTAGTTCATACCAATATCAATAACAATACTACCAGTGGCAATAGCATTATCAATGGCAATAATTGCATAAGCGACAATAATTACCACAATAAGCAATCACACACAAACAAAAAATAAGAGCAGCAGCAGCAGCAACTGCAACATCCACACGACCACAATGACGCCATAAACAACAGCAACATCAGAGGCAGCAAAGACAATGACAACACAACGACAACAACAACAACAACCACCACAACAAACGACACCCATGGCCCCCGAGAACCGAAAATAACTTTTCGGGCCACGATGTTTATTTATGTGTCTCGGAAATCAATTCATTTTAAGACTTTTGTAAAAACAAGCCAAAAAAAATTCCAAAATTCCGCTGAGCAAAGGCAAGTCTGTTAGGGACACGAACCCTTTGGGGTGTTGTATGTGCGTTTCAGCTTTTTTGAGGTGCGTTTCAGGTGCGTTTCAGCTTTTTCCCAGGGTTTTTGCTGCGTACTGAATAATAAGGCCAAGGTTGGACACTTCGGGGCGTTAAGGGTTCCTCTGTTAGGGACACGAACCCTTTTAGGTGTTGTATGTGCGTTTCAGCTTTTTTGAGGTGCGTTTCAGGTGCGTTTCAGCTTTTTCCCAAGGTTTTTGCTGGGTTTTAAACAAGGGGTCGGAAACTACTGCGGACAGGCTCTGGCCACAGCGACTGCGGCCCGGTGCTCGGCTCCCCGTGGCTCGCTGCTCCTTCAGGCTGCTGCTTTGTGTTTCGGCAGTGTTGACTTTGTCTGTTGGTTCCGAAGACAGCCCGTGCTCAAGGCTAAGGGGTTGTCAGTCGAGGCAGAGTCGTGCACAGTTGCGAAGTGCGAGGAAGCCAGAACATCCCCAGGACTTGTGGCCAGAGTGTAAGAACCACAGGCAGTGCAGCGGGCAGACCACATTTCAGGTGTAAAGTTTGTAGAGCTTTAGGCCGTTCTCCGTCCATCATGGCGGCGGCCCAACAGGCAAGGGCCGTTGGAGCAAGCGACGTTCGAGAAGCACCGGCGGATGGAGACAGGGACGTGCGAGCTGTGGTTCTCCCCTGCGGCAAGAAGGGGTCCTTCAAGGGCGAGGTGTACCAGTTTCGCCGGCCCATCGCGGCGGCGGATGGCCGCTCGAATCCAGGAGTGTTTTTCTGGATCTTCCGGTGGATCCTTGACTTTTTGGGCGGCACTCAGAGTCACAACTTCGGCGGCCGCAGTCGCGACGTCATCGCCTCCCGTACGTCGTCCGTTCTGGCCGACGGCCTGTCGTCCTCCGAGGACGAGGCGATGGTGGATGGCGAAGAGGCCGAGGACATTCTGCCTTCTGCGGAACAGCACATGACTGCATCATCCATGATGACTCGCATCCAGCAGGTCCAGGATCAGAACAAGGGGTCAAAGAGGACCTCGCAGGACGAGTTGAAGGGCGAGGTCAAGGGCGAGGTCAAAGGCGAAGTGAAGGAAGAGGGCCAAGCCGACGAGGTCGACGAGGACGGTCCTCTCCAGAGAGGTGACTTCAGCCTCTCGTCGTTCGCTTGTCTTTGTTGGCTGGCCCAGCTGATGTCCAAGGGCACCCGGGCGAATGCGAAGTGGAACTTGGATTCAGCCGAGATCCAGGCCAGGGCAGAGGCCCTTCTCTGTGGCATGCGGGACTGTTTCTGGCAGGACGTTCGGAAAGGCCACTTCGTCGTGGTCGAGGGCGACTTGTCGGTCGAGACCCTCGTCACCGCGAAGGTGGGTCAGATGGCAGCAAAAATTTTTGCCAAGCGAAAGACCGTGCCAGTCGTAGAGGCTTTGAAGATCTTACAACAGGATGCCGGTCGAAGGAGCCTCTCTGGCGACCGTCGGCGTGTGGCCGAGAAGATCTTCAGTCGCTTGGTCCGGGCACTCGCAGATGCCATCGACGACTCTGCAGGAAAGACAGTCTGGACGGCCAATCGAGTGGAATCCTTGGACCAGCTGAGGACCCTAAGGGTTTGCGGGTGGATTGCTGGATGCCAAGCCAAATCCTAAACTTCCTAAACCCTGCAAATCACAACCCAGGGACCCTTTAGGGTCTTGTATGTGCGTTTCAGCTTTTTTCAGGTGCGTTTCAGGTGCGTTTCAGCCTTTTTCCAAGGTTTTTGCTAGGTTTTTTAGACACCCTGGATATGCAGGACTGCCAGGGGCTATCGCAAGGCCTCATATGGCTGCCAGGAGGCCGTTCTGCAAGCTGGTTCGGAGGCAGGTCCCTCGATAGCAGCGGCTCTTCAGGCCCAGTCGCACTTCGCCTCTTCGGCGACCGGGGAGCAGCAGGGCAAGCGAAACAAGGACCGACCCGGGAAGTTCTTGGAGGCGGAACGTCTCTCGTACGTGGCCGCAGGTCGGCAGACGTTTGCGGCAAGTCGGGTCCTCAGCGTCGTCGCCGATGCCGTTCACGTGGGCCAGGAGGACTGGTTGAACGTCTTTCTGTGCGACACCGAGCAGGACTTGTCCTTCGTGTGCCCCCAGCAGGCCGCCAAGGGAGGGCTTGCTATAGAGGGATTTCTGTCCGCGGGTTAGGTCCAGTTTCGGTGCCGCAAAACCATACACTAAACGCTCCCTAGAGTCGACCATACATTTTAGGGTCCCTAAGCAAACCTGCAGTTATCGGCCCCTGCCAAAACCATACACCTAACGTTCCCTATTTCGCTTTTTGCCAGCCGGCGGATTTTCCCGGGCACCCGCCCTTGCCTTCTAGCATGATCACTGCCTTCCAGGCAAAACCATACACCTATCGCTCCCTAGCAAAACCATACACCTATCGTTCCCTAAGGGCCGCCCTCGCAAAACCATACCCGTATCGTTCCCTAGGTTTCGTGGTCCAAAACCATACCGTTTTGGACCAAAATTGGAGCCCTTTTTGGCTTCGCAGGGAGGCTGCAGGAAGCCCTTTTGTCGAGCTTGTTGCTGCGTCTGCTTTTGCGTGACGGACGTGTTCGTTTTCGTGTTTCTCGTGCGTTTAAGAGCAGTACAGCACCCGAGGTCACAAACTCTGAAGCAAACCGCAGGTTTTCAGTTCGCTGTGTCAGGTTGGCTACTATATAGCCTTGCAAATGCAGTTGTTGAGGGCTGTGGGGGCGGGTTTAGGCTGTCGGACCGGAACCATTACTACACGGCAGCAGGCAAGGCTTCAACGTAATGATCTGGTTTACAATAGAAGTAGAACGAGTTAAGAGCTGTGTCTGTAGGTTTTTTTTAAAGTGTTTCGTTTTTTCGAAGTACAAGATAGCAAGTTTTCTGCTTTCCGCAGGTCAAGAAGGGGACGGCCATCACCTCGGAGGCTTGGACAGACATGTGGCAAGGCCGCTTGACGAGCTTTTTCCGGAAAGTTGGCACGAAGGGTCGCTCGGCGGACAAGGCCACCGGTGGGGTCAGGCAGCCTGAACGGCAGGCCACTCAGGAGTGGCTTCGCGACCTCTCGCACAGCCTCGCGGTCGTTGGGTGGTCCTGGTCGTGCTGCCGGAGGACGACCGACGAGGCCAGGCCGTTCGTCTTGGCACTCAGCTGGCAGCCGCCAACTACCTGTCGTTCGGCCGGCAGTTGTTCGTGCAGCACGTGCCCGACCCGGCCCACCGCTCGCACAACGACGTTCACCTGGCCATGGCAGCGGCCGGGCTCTTGACGTTCAGCATCGTGTCCATCGGGCTGTACAACGTTCGCTATGGCCCCTGGAATAAGGGGACGTGGTTCGGGAAGGTCCAGACCATGGCCGACGAGATGAGCCGCTCGATGTCGCCGTCGGACCCGCTGCTCCTCGCCTTCTTCCCGGACATTCTCGCCGACCAGGGCCGTTCGCAGGACGAGAACACGGAGGAGTCGCGACGTGCCTTTCTCGAGTCGCTGCCGAACAGGTCGTTCGTCAGGAGCAAAGGCAGCAAGGCCTCTCAGTCCAGGTTCAACAGCCTCAGCACGGCCCATGCCGAGCTCGACAGGGACTGGTCGGCGTTCTGCCTCGTCCTCGTGGTCATTTGCGTGGCGGAAGGCTGGGCCAAGTCTGCGGCCGACCTTTGGACTCCCCAGAGTGAGGTCGCCGAGAGTGCGGGCTCGTCCAGGGCTGCTGCCAAGTCCGCCGCTCGAAAGGCCTTGCAGAAGCAGCGAGGCCGTTCGGTGAACACTCTGCATGGCATGACGATGTTCGCTTGCAACCCGGACAACAAGTCGCTCGCCCGGACAGTGTTTTTCGTCCTTGGGCCAGAGGGCGTTCGCTGCTCCAAGATGCTCGAGGACTTGCGATCGGCGGAAGCGACAGTCAAGCAGTACTCCGAGTGGGCACACTGGGAGTACATGACGGTCGCTCACGAACACGTGGCCAAGCTGTCCAATCTCGCCGCTCTGCAGCGGATTGGATTGGACATGTCCATGCTGCTGCCGGAGGAGGAAGCTCGAGAGGCGGCCGTCACCTGGCAGGATGCTGTGGCTCGCAGGGTCGTTCGTCTCACACAGCGGCTTCTTCGGTACCGGTGCGGCAGCCAGCTGCCTGCGACGAACGGTTGGGGGTCCACGGCTGGCCTTCTGCACCAGTCGACGGAGGCACGGCGTGCGAGCTTGAGCTTCCTCGCAGACGTGGACAAGACGGTGCAGGCTGTTCAAAAGGAAGGGTCCCTCGAGGCCAAGCTGCTGCTCGAAGGCCACCCGGCCACGGGGCCAGTCATGGCTTTGGTGCTGTCCGAGCTGCGAGCAGAGTCGTTCGTTGAGGTTGCTGCGGACACCTTGGCCTTTTTGCGTCGTTTGTGGTCCGGCCTCTTGAACAGCAAATTGGTCGAAGATGCAAACAAAGTGCAGCGTGAAGCAGAGCAGAGGAACGGGACGTCCAAGACCATCGGCCGCTTGGAAGGGTGGCATGGGCTTACGAGGAAAAAGTTGCTCGAGGCGGGCTACAAGAGGCCAGAGGTTGCCTGCGGTGCCATGTCCGTCGTTCCCACGAAATTCGAACCGGACCAATGGTTCCAACGGCCCAAGCGACTCCGTATGGCCGACAGTTTGGCCTCGGCGTCTACTGCTTCGACTGTCGAGGAGGTCAGCGACCAGTCTCTCGAAGAGGACATTCTCAAGGGCGTCAGCCTCGCGAAGACTTGGGCCTCGCACACACCCGAGTCGGAGCAAGACAGGCTTGCCAGCTTCTCGCTCTTGACCAAGGTTGTCAAGCAGGGCATGGATTGGACGTTCGTGGAGCAAGGCTGGTGGGCGTCCTTCGCGCCCGAAGGCCACGGACTGCTGTTTCCAGGGATGCCGCCGTGCTACGTGGTTCGCAGCTACAAGCGTGCAGCTCTCGTTTGGCCGGCCAAGCTGGAGAAGCTGGCCGAATGCGAGGAGATGCTGGTGCTGGACCCGGAGGCCCCTTCGCTGTGCTGGCTGCACTTGTACAACGACGAAGTGGAGGTTCTGGACCTCGTTGCGACCTCCCCGCAGCGTGGCCTGTCGCACTTTTATTTGAGGACATCCCAATTCACGAAAGCTTTTATTGGTGAGGTTAGTTTTGGCCACCAAGAAGTTCCATGTGCCCGATCGCATACAGGTAGATTCTTAACTCCCTATATCTGATATAGGGCCAATTAAACTTCCACTCACAGACCCTTTACAGTCCTGTAGGTGCGTTTCAGCTTGTTTGAGGTGCGTTTCAGGTGCGTTTCAGCTTTTTCCCAGTGTTTTTGAAGCGTTCAAAGCAATAAGGGCCAAGTTGGACACTTCTGGACGTTAAGGGCTGCTTTGTTAGGGAAACGAACCCTTTACAGTCCTGTATGTGCGTTTCAGCTTTTTCGAGGTGCGTTTCAGGTGCGTTTCAGCTTTTTCCTAGGGATTTAGCTACGTTTTCACTCTTTTAGGGTTTTGGTTTAAAAATAAAGCCTTTCAATCAAGAAACATACAACCAGGTCTGCGGCTGCTCGGTGAGACTCGGCCTCTCGGAGTGGCCCTTCGTGTGCAAGCCAAAAGGCCGCTGCTCCGCCACCACGAGGTCTACGGCTTCGCAGGCGTGGCCGAGTGGGGCCTGCGACGTCTGGTCCAGAGCAAGGGCTGGTCGCTGGAGGCCTCGGACGAAGCCGGCCACGAGGAGGACGACCGACTGGCTGTTGCCTGCTTGCTCTCCTTGGAGGCCAGTCTGACGAAGGACGAAGTCGTCGCCCGAATCCTGTTTCGGCAGGATGCGGCGACGTGGGCAGGCGAGTATGGCGAGCTGGACCTCGCGGAGGTCGTTCGGGACACGATGCTGTCGGCGGACCAGGAGGTGGCCTTGCAGCAGATCGCCAAGCGAAAGGCCACTCACCAGACAGCTGTTCAGGTTCGCCAGCGAGTGTCCAAAACCTTCGACTACGTGTCTAAGAAGTTCGCCAGCAGGCCTGAATTCAAGAAGGCTGCGGCAGCTCGAAAGGCCAAGGAGAAGAAGGCCGAGCAGAAGAAGAAGGAGCAGGCCACCGAGATCAAACGTTGCTATGCCCTCGTGAGCTCGGACGTGGACAAAGCTGTCAAGGCCGCCGTGCCTGCCGCCGTTCGGGTCTACACGGACCCTCCCAATGGGCGGTGGAAGCTCAGCTACAGCACGGCGTGGGCGTGTGCGAGCCGGTCCATTTCGTGGACAGCCATCGGCAGCAAAGCTGGCGGGGCAGAAGTCCTTCGGCAAGCTTGGTCTTGGGCCGAGACCTTCGACGGCCTCGACATCACGGACGAAGCGGCCGCGATGTTGCAGAAGCTCGGAGCCTAGCCTAGTGCAGACCGAGTCGTTCCGAGCCCTGGGTCGCTCGGACATTTTTAGGGTCTCTCGGAAAGCAGAGACCTGAGGCCGTGGCTGAAGCAGCCGGGCCGATGCAAGCTTCAGCCGTGAGGGGTGACGAAGAATAAAGAGGGAATTCTCCGTGTTGCCTCTGCACCTGCCTGCATTCGCCTCCTCTAGCCGTGTAAGTTTAATTAATTGCCCATTGCTTTCCGCCCAGGCCAGATCGAGCACGACTTCCAGCTGGTGGAGCTCCGCACACACGAAGCACGAGGCGGGCCCTTGCCACACTCTTGCGTTGCCTTTGCAGTCAGCCTGTGTCAAAGTGTGAGAAGAGCTGTCTGTTTGCAGCAGAGCCCGTGCTCCCAGACTACAGAGCTTTGAGGACTTGCACGTTTCGTAGTTGTGTTTCTCAAGCGTTTTTTTGCCTTGGTAGCGATGGGTCGAGCGACTTTGGCCGAAACCGGCGGCGTGAGGCCTGCCAGCGCCTATGCTCTCTTTTGCAGCTGGGTCGCTCGCGAGGGGCTCTCGTCCGATCGGGCGGCCAGGTTTCGCATCCGTGGAAAGCGTATGGTGCGGAATGGGCCGGCCATCCAGAAAAAGTGGACACTCGGGCTTTTGTTTAGCATTCACCTTATTAGCAGTGTCAGACAATGGTGCGTTTCAGCTTTTCTGAGATGCGTTTCAGGTGCGTTTCAGCTTTTTCCCAGGGTTTTTGAAGCGTTCAGAGCAAGAAGGGCCAAGTTGGACACTTCTGGACGTTAAGGGCTGCTTTGTTAGGGAAACGAACCCTTTACAGTCCTGTATGTGCGTTTCAGCTTTTTCGAGGTGCGTTTCAGGTGCGTTTCAGGTTTTTTCTAGGGTTTTCCATAGGTTTTTATTAAAGGTGTGGCTTTGCAAGCTCTCAAGGGACTGTTCTTGGGTTGGTGTTTTTTCCTGCAGGCTGTACAGGTCGTTCTCAGGTTTGTCTCTTGTCAGACAAAGCCCCAGCATAGCCCTTGGACAGACCCTAAGAACTGGTCCACAGCAGCCGCATAAAATTGGGCAGTTTGAAGTCCTGGAACTTGGTTGCCTCGGACCTACGGCAAAAGCTCAGAAGCAGCAATACAGGTAGAGATTACGGGGTTCAGAACAAACAGGTTGTCAAGGAGTTTCGCCCGGCCCATCCCTGCCCCTGACTCAAAAATTATTTTCGAGAACAGCCCCAAGCCCAAGCTCCGCTGCACTCAGGCGCCACAAGAAAAGCAAGGACCTTCGGGACCACTTCACGGCCCAAGCAAAAAAGGCCTACGAGGACAACCGTGCCAAGGCAGAGGCCTTCAGGACGGCCCAAAGCCGGGAACTTTTGCCAAGCGAACCTCTTGCAGACGAGGAGGCCGTGGCTGTCGAACTCGAGGCCGACCGTGCGAGGACGGAGCTGTTCAACGACTCCTGGACCTGGACACTCGGAGTGGCCGTTCGCGACCTGACAGAGGTGAGCAGTGGGGTCAGCGGCCGGGTCTTCGTCGGGTCCTTCGCAGGCCAGCCGGTGGCCCTCAAGGTGGCCTTGGGTCGGGGATTGCGAGATCCCATGCAGAGGGCGGCCGCTGGTGGGCTGGACGTGGCAGAGGAGTTCGCCATCTTGGGGGCGCTCGGACAGCACCCCAACGTGGTTCGGGCCTTCGGCGTTCTGACGAGCTCTCTCGGAAAAACCGCTTTGCTCCTCGAGAGGGCGACCGAGAGCCTGCACGACATGGCCTGCCGGCTCCAGGCCGACCGACTGGAAACTTCGCCGGCCGGGAAGGGCTCTCTGCTGCAGCTCTTCCAGCAGTTCCTCCTTGGCCTGTCGTTCGTGCACGGCCGTTCGATTCTGCACTTGGATGTCAAGCCCAAGAACATCCTGGTCTTCGACGGCGTTCGTGCAGCACTGGCGGACTTCGGGCATTCGGAGTCTGCTTCGGACGGTGCCTGCTCGGTCGTCGGCGATCGCGTCTACACCGAGGCCTTTCGATGCTCGGAGTGCCTGATGGCAGGCGATCGGAAGGCCTGCCTCTTGCATTTGCCTCCCAAGTAGCCTTACCATGGCACGTTGCAGACTTAAGCTGAAATCTAATTTGGTGCTCCCTCCCAAACCAGCTTCCCCTATTTTTTCCCGCTAATTTTTGGGTTTAGGCAATACAACCCCACCAAGACTCCTTGACAGTGTAACGTCCCCTGCCAGGTCAGAGTGACGTTCGCCGGCGACGTCTGGGCAGCCGCCGTCTCGTTGTTCGAGATCTGCTCACCTGCAAAAGCCTCGCTGTGGACGGTCTCTCCCAAGACGTTCGTGCGGGAGACGGAGGAGCAGACAGCTCAGGCCATTCGAGAGATGGCCATCGCAAAGAGTGCCAAGGTGATGCCGTTCAATCAGAACATGGTGGACGTTCTGGAGAAGGTCTTCCTACCGGCCAGCCGAAGACTGTCGTTGTCGGGCATGCTTCAGAGCATCCAAAGAGACCGACGAGCACTCGGCCAGGCCCGATCGTTTTGAACGGCCTGCCTGTTTGGTCGCTGAGAAGCAGGGTCGTTCGATGCAAGCCGTTCGAAGCCCTTCGCAAGGAGCTCAGAAGAGCTCCCGTTTTTCATTGCTTTACGAGTCAAAAGAGACCTTCGCTTTGAGCTTTGGCCTAAGTAGTCAAGCACAGCTTCGAGTCTAAAGCTTGTCCTAGGCCTCGAAGCCTTTTCCTGCTGCCAGGTGCTCGAGCGACCTGCTCTTCTTCGCCGAGAAGTTCGCAGCTACAACTCCTAATCCTAAAGCCCTCAATTTTCAACCTTAAGGAATTCAGACCCCAGCTCTTCAACCCTTCTCTTGGGCATCAAAAGTTTGCGACACTCGCCGTTCGACTTGGGTTTCTATGGCGGAAGGGCCAGGTTTTAAGGATAAAGCTTTAGAGATTTCAGGCCGGGGGATACAGTTTCAAGTCTTCAGGTATATCAAAGGGCTTTCGAGATCCAGGATTCAAGCTTTATTTGGGGTTTCGGTGCCGGTGTAGATTTCCACGTTGTACCAAGGAGCCACTGGGTCTTCTGCAAATTAGTCACAGAAAACAAACAGGTTTTGCAGTCCTACAATAGGCCAGAGATGGTCTGCCACACATACGTTTCAACACCTGCGGCCCTGCACAGACGAGAAGCGACAGTTGTAGCATAACTTTACGTATCTCCAACACCAAGACACTTAAAACAAAGCATCGCCCGCTTATTCACGTACCGAATAGGCCGTGGCTTTAAAACAACTCTGTTTACAGAGAGTTTCACACCGGGGTTGCACAAAACTGTTTTAAATTTCGATACCACAAAGGCTTCAAAACGACATCACAAAAGCATTACAACCGATAGCCCAACATGACGACGTTTTTTAGTGCAGTTTTGAGCCGTGCCCATCCCGGCACCGACTATGCCAAAACCTGACGCTTATCCTTCCCTACTTTTGGCGCTCCCTATTAGCCCGCCCAATATAATCAGGATCCCACTACGGTCGAGGCTTTTGATAAGAAATCGTCCTTCGGAAGCGAGGGTCAGGAAATTTCTTAATCTGGCAGTTCGGAATAAGAAATTCGGGATCAGTCCAGACTCTGAAAAAGACTTTCTTAAAGGTGGGTTTGTATTGGGTGGTTTGGTCACTAGGATTTGGGGCTCATTTACAGGGAAAACCTGCCTAGGACGGTGTTCTATAGGATTTGGGGCAATTGCCAGGGCTCTCCAACGGCTCATTTACAGCGAAAACGCGCCTAGGACAGTGTTCTAGGTTTTTCGGCTCATTTACAGCGAAAACACGCCTAGGACAGTGTTCTAGGTTTTTTCGCTCTCCAAGGGCTCATGTATAAAGAAACTAGGATTTGGGGCATTTTCCCAAGGGCTCATTTACAGCGAAAACCTACCTAGGACAGTGTTCCAGGATGTGGGGCAATTGCCAGGGCTCTCCAACGGCTCATTTACGGCGGAAACGCGCCTAGGACAGTGTTCTAGGTTTTTCGGTTCATTTACAGCGAAAATGCGCCTAGGACAGTGTTCTAGGTTTTATTGGCTCCCCCAGGGCTCATATACAAAGGAACTAGGATTTGGGGCATTTTCCCACGGGCTCATTTACAGCGAAAACCTACGTATAGGACAGTGTTCTAGGGTGTAGGGCAATTGCCAGGGCTCTCCAACGGCGCATTTACAGCGAAAGCGCGCCTAGGACAGTGTTCTAAATTTTTCGGCTCATTTACAGCGAAAACGCGCCTAGGACAGTGTCCTAGGTTATTTTGGCTCTCCAAGGGCTCATTTACAAAGGAATTAGGATTTGGGGCATGTTTCCAAGGGCTCATTTACAGCGAAAACCTAGATAGGACCGTGTTCTAGGGTTTGGGGCAACTGCCAGGGCTCTCCAACGGCTCATCTACAGCGAAAACGCTCCTAGGACAGTGTTCCAGGTTTTTCGGCTCATTTGCAGCGAAAACGCGCCTAGGACAGTGTTCTAGGTTTTTCGGCTCATTTACAGCGAAAATGCGCCTAGGACAGTGTTCTAGGTTTTTTTGGCTCCCCAAGGGCTCATATACAAAGGAAATAGGATTTGGGGCATTTTCCCACGGGCTCATTTACAGCGAAAACCTACCTAGGACAGTGTTCTAGGGTGTAGGGCAATTGCCAGGGCTCTCCAACGGCGCATTTACAGCGAAAACGCGCCTAGGACAGTGTTCTAGGTTTTTCGGTTCATTTACAGCGAAAACGCACCTAGGACATTGTTCTAGGTTTTTTTGGCTCTCCAAGGGCTCATTTACAAAGGAACTAGGATTTGGGGCATTTTCCCACGGGCTCATTTACAGCGAAAACCTACCTGGGACAGTGTTCTGGGATTTGGGGCAATTGCCAGGGCTCTCCAACGGCTCATTTACAGCGAAAACGCGCCTAGGACAGTGTTCTAGGTTTTTCGGCTCATTCACAGCGAAAACGCGCCTAGGACGGTGTCCTAGGTTTTTTTGGCTCTCCAAGGGGTCATTTACAAAGGAACTAGGATTTGGGGCATTTTCCCAAGGGCTCATTTACAGCGAAAACCTACCTAGGACAGTGTTCTAGGGTGTAGGGCAATTGCCAGGGCTCTCCAACGGCGCATTTACAGCGAAAACGCTCCTAGGACAGTGTTCTAGGTTTTTTTGGCTCTCCAAGGGCTCATTTACAAAGGAACTAGGTCTTGGGGCATTTTCCCAAGGGCTCATTTACAGCGAAAACCTACCTAGGACAGTGTTCTAGGATTTGGGGCAATTGCCAGGGCTCTCCAACGGCTCATTTACAGCGAAAGCGCGCCTAGGACAGTGTTCTAGGTTTTTCGGCTCATTTACAGCGAAAACGCACCTAGGACATTGTTCTAGGTTTTTTTGCTTCGCAAGCGCTCATTTACAAAGGACCAGGTTTTGGTGCATTTTTCCAAGGGCTCATTTACAGCGAAAACCTACCTGGGACAGTGTTCTAGGGTGTGGAGCAATTGCCAGGGCTCTGCAACGGCTCATTTACAGCGAAAACGCGCCTAGGACAGTGTTCTAGCTTTTTCTGCTCATTTACAGCGAGAACGCGCCTAGGACAGTGTGCTAGGTTTTTGGGGCTCTCCAAGGGCTCATTTACAAAGGAACTAGGTCTTGGGGCATTTTCCCAAGGGCTCATTTACAGCGAAAACCTACCTAGGACAGTGTTCTAGGATTTGGGGCAATTGCCAGGGCTCTCCAACGGCTCATTTACAGCGAAAACGCGCCTAGGACAGTGTTCTAGGTTTTTCGGCTCATTTACAGCGAAAACGCACCTAGGACATTGTTCTAGGTTTTTTTGGCTCTCCAAGGGCTCATTTACAAAGGAACTAGGATTTGGGGCATTTTCCCAAGGGCTCATTTACAGCGAAAACCTACCTGGGACAGTGTTCTGGGATTTGGGGCAATTGCCAGGGCTCTCCAACGGCTCATTTACAGCGAAAGCGCGCCTAGGACATTGTTCTAGGTTTTTTTGCTTCGCAAGCGCTCATTTACAAAGGACCAGGTTTTGGTGCATTTTTCCAAGGGCTCATTTACAGCGAAAACCTACTCAGGACAGTGTTCTAGAATTTGGGGTCATTGCCAGGGCTCAGAATCCTTTACAATAAAATTTCAATCCACAATCCAGAGTCTGGATTTCTAAATTTGTTCCCGCTTCAGACTCTAATTTCTTAATTGATAAAATTTCTTATCGCAGTACTTCACCGTATTGTTTAATTAAAATTCCTTTGTTTTGAAACGCCTGGATCTCAAGAAAGGTTGCAGAGTGTGTCATTTTGCGTACCTGTCCCCATCTCTGAGAAAGCCCAAATACTAAATTTCCGTTGCTGTGCAGCACACAGGGGCCTGGCCTGGTCTGTGTGGTCTTCCCAGGCTCTCTCGTTTTCATTGTGTGCTCCCTAAAACCGTTGAGCCTTAAATCACGCGTCGAAAACTCCTACAACGCGAAGACGCTTTAAGGTAAAAGCCAGAAAGTTGGAATATGATTATCCTAACCCTTCTATGGTAAATTATAGAATATCCTACCATGAAACCATATTCCAACTTTCGGGAGTTCCCTGTAATCCGCCGCGACAAACCTTTCTAGAACCGCTTGAAACCTTGAGACGACCCTAAGCACGAATTCCCTAAATCCGAACCCGAAACCCTCAGCCGCTCTCCCATAGGTAGCTTATGATAACTAATTACTCTATAAATCCGAACCCTAAACCCTAAGCCGCTCTATCATAGGTAGCTTATGATAACTTTGAACTACTCTGGGCCGGGTGCTCCGCAGGCTGGATCTATTGCTGCAGACATCGCAGCATTGCGCTCCGAGCTGGCGGCAGCATGGTGGCGTTTAGCGCTTAGGGCCTTTTTGGGGTTTTGGGACTTGGGGTTCCCTGGTTTGGGGTTTGGAGTTTAGGGTTCAAAAAATGTTCAATTACGGGCTTTTAGGGCTGGTTGGGGTTTCGGGATTTGGGCTTTATGGCTGTATGGTTTAGGATATGGAGTTTAGGGTTCTTCGGACGTAGAGATTTCGAGTTCGAGGGCTTAGGACTCGCAGTTGAGTTATGTCTGTTCAGGTTACGTGTAAGTGTCAAGGGCAGCCCATGCTACCCCCATCCTGCTGCAAGAAACGGGGGTAAGTCGAGGTTTCGAGTTTTCAGAATCGAGGATTTACCCAGTTTGTGGGCGGGAGTTTAAGGACTACTGGTTGAGGGCAAGGCATTCTCGGCCTCAGCTTCTCGGATAGAGGGTTTAGCAGGGCAGGGCTTGAGGGGCGTCGGACTCTTTCACGGATCTAGGGTGTAAGTTGAGTGTGGCCGTTCATTCAATGATCCCGAATCCTAATGTCGAGCACATCAACTGTTACCGGGATTTTTTGTGGTTTGAATCAGGGGTTGACCTCCCTAATCCCTAAATCCTAAATTCCCAAACCCTTAACCCTACACCCTGAATCCCTAAACCCGAAACCGTAGTTTCTCCCAGGCAGAGAAGAAGGACCCGG